ATTTCAAAATTTTCCTAACTGTTGGTGTACTCTCGCCTGACAATAGTTTTTACTTCTCCATGCCACTGAATTACCACTGCTAGTTTGTGCCATAGTCGTTGAATTTCGATTTTTAAGTCCTGGTATTTTGCTATTTTTTCAAGTTCTTTCTCGGCGACCCTGCTATCACCTGGTATTGCGATGTCTATGATTGTGACCTTATTTTTTTCAATCAGTGTGATGTCTGATTATTATTATTATACAATTGTATCACAGCGGCCAGTTGTTTTGCCGGATTTGGCATTGGTTATTATTGTTATTATTGTTGTTGTTGTTGTTGTTGTTATTATTATTATTTAGTTCTGCCTTATTTTATCACCAAAGCTTTGATATAAATATTGCTTGCTATTTGCATTATATTAAAATAACTGTTCTCACAATTGGTATTTATGGTTCCACAAATTCCTTGGAATGCTGCTGGTTCCAGGAATAGTTTACTATTTTCCAGCAACCCTCCTCTTAAGGATTTGGGAGGACATATTTTGAATTGTAAGAGATGCTGCAAAATGAACTTGAAATGTTTTGCATACAAAATAGACTTTTTATCACTGACCACATGCTACCTATAAATCTCGTTTTAAATGTTTTCTTCAACAAACATCTGCAAGTCCTTTGAATTTTGTCCAGCTTGTAAAATCAGTTATTTCAATGTACTTTTCTTCTCTTTTGCTCCATAAAGCAACTGATAGAATAAAAATTTTGTATGAAACAGTTGCAATAGCAACAGCACTTAGACTTATATACTTTAGTGCTTTATAGCAATTTGTGAGCAGTGCACAGTATCCACATATTGCCCTCAACAATCTGGGTCCTCATTTTACCAAACTCAGAAGGATGGCAGGCTGAGTCAAACTCAAGCCCAGCCAAGAACAAATTCCAGGCTGTAGGCAGAATTTGCCTGCAATACTGCATTCTAACCACCAGGGCTCTGATGCTGTGGGTTGGTCTTTACACAGGACTGGACGATCCTCAGAAAAAATATCCTACCCAAACTGTCATAAGTTCTTGTTGTCCTCAGGTACAGTGGCATCTTTAAAGTAACATACAAATGTCACTCCAAGTAGCTTTTTTATGTACACTAGGAATGGTGACATTATGTCCTTCATCCTTAGTCACGGAAATACCTTGGTTGACCTAATCATAACCATATCATAGGCTTATTCCCGAATTTCTATGGTAGTAATACTCCCAGATTCTTTTTAGAGTAGGAGTGTCACACTTGATTTTATTGAGGGCTTCATCAGGATTGTGTTTGAACTTCAGGGGCCCGGGGGAGGGGCATGGCCAGATTGGGTGTAGCCAACTCGATGTCACTCATGTCAGGAGCACCTGTGGTGGCCCAAGCGCTTTGTCAGTGAAAACAGAGCAGGGGTTTTTGAGTGGCAGAGGGTTGCAGGAGGCCGTTGCAGCCGGGCCCTCCCAAGGTCCGTTTTCACTTGTGGAAGCACTGCAGGCCAGTCCATCGCTGTTTACAGGGTGGCCCCACGAAAGGTATTTAAGACTGGCCTTATATTTGATAATAGGGTGACACTGAATTACTGTTTTAAAGAAACTCAGGACTCAGACTGTGAAACTCCAGGGGTTAGTCGCTCATGATTTAGTTATGGTGCAAGCGGGTATAGAATTTTTACTGCAACATGCACATCAAATAAAATACTTCCAAGTCTCTGTGATCTAGACAAGATTTACATTTCTTTATAAACTTCAAGTTTGTCCACACGTGCATTTCAACTGTATCCCATGTTTTGGATTCTCATATTCTTTTAATGTTTATTAGAACTACATATAAAATTCCAACTACGGTACATATAGCACCACAGTAAAGAAGTAATGAGAGTTTAATATTTGGAATTTATTTATTATTAAATTTGTATGCCATCCATACATATAGAGTATGCCATTCTATAAAGCAACTCTAGTATCTTAGTTTACATTATCTCCTATATAAATCACTAAAAAGAAATTAATCTTTAGGAATTCTGTATTTGCTTTTCATTGTAGTAACAATCTCAAGATTGTCTATTTTGTTTGATCACTTACTCCCAAGCTCATCAATATAATTTCTCTCCAATATATATGTTCAATAGATTTGCAGTTAGCATCGATTATGGATTTGTACTTATATACCAAGAACTGTACAAGTAAAGCAATTCACAGCAATTTGTAATATTTTCTATTATCAAAAGTTTTGAGTCTTGTGGCATTTGTCTTTCACTGCAAAATTAAGACCAGAAAAACTGGTTCCAGAACAGTTTATTGGGGACACTTTTCCTTCATTACACAAAATTAAAATTATTATTCCCTCTTCTATGTAGCATTCTGTATTCAATTTATAGTTGTCCAACATATTATTTCAGCTCTCTTCATATATTTTTCAATCAACAGCTCTTATTCTTGTTATGTCCCATCTGCATGTTTATAAATCATTTGTGATGTTTTAAGATTACTTGGTATATGCGTGTTACCCAAAGCTAATAATTTCAATGGGTAAGTTATTTAAAATTATGAAGAAAAAAGAAACCTGTAGTACCAATACATACAGGTAAAAAGGTTAAGTATGGCCTTAAATTTAAGTCTTCAATGATTCTACCATTCTTCATGATTCTATCAATCTTCTTTGTAGTCATTATATTTTGCAATAACCAATTTTTAGTACATTTATGAGGGAGGGATCAATATAAGCCAGATATTACAAAAAAAGTTATGTATTTGCTTGGACATGCTTCCACTGAAGTAAAATTCCTTTGTGCAGGGGATATTTTAAGGTTTCGTAGACATTTAATTCAATGAGTCCTTTCCTTGTTGAGTCATACATGTTCCTAGTTCAAGTGTATTGACATTCTGCTCTTTTCTAATTTTTAAAAAGATTCAAAGAAAGAATGGTTTGTAGAGTGCTGGATATGATTATAAGCTAGAAAAGTTTTCTAAGTTGCCACCTTGGTTCTGATAGCAGAAGTCAGCCAGACAATTAGAGGGCTGTGTTAAAAGTACCAGTGATAGGAGTGAACTTTAAATGCTGTATGCTATTTGTGTGAAATTAAACCCACCCAATTGTTTCATGTATAGATGAGACAGCCGGACATATAATATAAACCTACATGACCACAACTTATCACTTCTCTGGATATCTGAAAAAGATTTTTGTTAAGCTTAATTTTCAATTTGAAATCACCTTCCTTCCATTCATGGATGATAAACCAATCCATCTTCCTATGTATCTTCTACGTTTCTACATGTTGACAACTTTAAGAAGTGTAGACTTGACTCCCAGCATGCTGGTTAGGAAATTCTGGGAGTCGAAGCCCATACATCTTAAAAGTTACATAGGCTAAGAACACTGTTCTACATGAGTACTTCCTTGAAAAAATTATAAAGGGCCATCGTGGCATTTAAATCCTTTTTACTTTATTGTTTATAACTTTATATATTATTTGTAATATAAAATTGCATATAGTGAAACGTATTAAAAAGTTTAAAACATTTATAGGTTCTCAAAACAATGGCAACTTTTGCTTTATATTTATAAAATGACTCATGAGTTTAAGTAATAAATTCATGACTAACCTACTAAAGTAATCATTTGTTTTCTTTTTCAGCAGTGTAAAATATATAAATATATTTATAGTGTCAGAATATTTCTTCTGAAATGTTTAACTGAACAATGTTAAATAAGTGTTTTTGGTTATTAATACTAGGTTATTCGTGTTCCTTTGCTTGATGTAGTCCCCACTATTATGACTGCATGGCAAAATAAGAAATGTTTGTCTCTTGTCTCAATCATAAAAACTAGCAATTTCATATATTAATTCAGCATCGTTTTGTTTGACTTCATTTCCACTAAAAGCAGCAGCTTTGTTTTGCAGCAAAAATGGGTTATAAATCAAAATATTAATAGCAAATTATATTGCACTACAACTAGAAAGTAAACATGGAAAATAAATTTACTTTCAACAATACATATATAGCTAAAGCATGTGGGATTAGCATCCACTTCAATTTTGTCTTCTAATATAATAGTTGTTCTGAAAATATATTAAATACAAAATTTCAGTTCATGAAATTTGAACATTTAAAAAAAATTCTTTATTTATTAATAGATAACATTAATATATCAACATTGTATGACATTTATGATAGCTAGCATTTTACTTTTGACACTGTTAGTTATTCAAAAGTAAATTTCTCTCTTAGTTCCGCGGCGATTTCTGAAAACCTGTAGAAGCTATTAGAAACTATGCAGTTTCCATCTTGTAGCAATGCTTTTCCAGTTCCGCTCTGAAAAAGTAAGACATTTAGAGTATTAAATTATGAAAAATAGTTACCTGATATTTTTATTATCAAAAAATGTATTGAAATCAGGTTAAGTTTATAAATTGGTTTAAATCAATTAAATATTTTTCGTTCTTATGAGTTACTCAATTACATTTATAATAGTTCCCCAAGCAGATATATGGCTGAATGCAAACTTGAACTTCAATATCATTTCCAGGTTGGGGGCAACATGCCTCCAAGAACCAGCTGCAAGAGAAGAATGGCAGGAGGGAACTATGGCTCCATCTCCTCAAAACTTATTTGGATGGTTAATGAGAAATGAGGCTCTATCCTATTTCTTATGAACTGATAGTCATGGCCAAATTGATTTAATATAAAACCAAAATTCCACATAGTTGATTTCATTTAAACTAAAGCACAACTTATATACCATATGTACTGTATTTTATTCTCTTAAGCTGGTAAATTATTATTTTTTATTAATCATAACTTACCGTATCATCAAATACAAATGAAGTATCTTAAACGACTATTTTCAAACTACCTTTTATGAAGTTAGCATTTATTATCCACATAAAATTAAAGTTTAGGAAATGTATTTTATCTATAACAGAAATTTTTGTAATGCTAAAAAAGAAAGAGGGAATACTGCTTATTTTATAACACAACATCAATGTTAAAAATTATATCTAAAAAAAATTAATGTTTTATCAGTAATATATTGTTCCATTATCATGTGCTGTAATAAAGTAGAAGTTGAATTTATTTACAATGCTTTGAGATATAATTTTTGTTTTAGGGGTAATCTGTATATGTTTCCATTACTAATATAGACTGAATGTTTAATATACCTTAACTGGTTAGAGAAATCATCTTCTACATTATCATCATCCCAATTATCTTCCCACACATGTGCATCTTCATCTTCATCTAAACCAGCCCAGTCTAAAACAAAGCAATGAACAATGTTTTAATATATAATTCATGAATTTAGACAACATTGGATATATCTCAGTAATTTATAAATCAAAATATTTCATTCCTTTTTAATTTCCAACAGGTTTAAGTTTCATGAATAACATTTTTAGGAATGGTATGTGATGCATTTTTGTTTTTCAAGTAATGTTATCAAAAACTATCAGGTTCCATCATGAACAGATGTACTTGGTACTTAGATCTGGGCCAGAGCCAAAAATCATGGTTTGTAAAAATGACTGCAGCCAAATACTACAAATTAATTATTGAAAGATCTTCTCAAAACCTGGCTCATAATTTACAGCCACCAATATTCCCAATTTGTGAGTTTGGACCACCCTTGTTTAATCAATAAGAAATGAACAAGCTGAGTGAGAATCGAATAACCCATTTAAAAAGATGGGGCAAGGAAATGAAATGAAGTAATAAAAGAATGGACACCAGATTTTGCCTAAATAAAGATCACTTATGAGCGCCTAATTTACATTAGGTGAAACTAAGGATTTAGAGTTCTGGCAGATGGCAAGGAACAATGAGAGGTCAGTTACTCCATAGGTACTGCTCCAATATCAATGGAATTGTAATAGCTGGGAATTTAATGCCTATGTAAATTGCACATCAGACCTTATCGGTTTTGCAAAATAAATGGGAGCTCAGTCTTAAATAGTATGCTTTCCTTCTAGCTGGCTTTCGTACTATCAGCATAAATATATAAATCTGAGATGCAAAATGAGAAAAGCTGATAAGTGAACAATTTTCTAGCACGCATCAGATTTGGTAGTAACTGCTATTGGTTACTAAAATCAAAATAGTCTATTCAAATGTTAGCTCCACTATTCCCATGTATCACAAAGCAGAGTGATAGCGTTCCTAGTGATAGTGTTATTTGATGCAAAACAATATAAATTTGCTGAGTCAATTCACCAGATTTGCAGAGAAATCATTACAACTTTTTCCAGTGGTGCTTTTCAAAAGAGAAGTTTAAGACATTGACGTTTTTCTTACTAAAAGTCATTTCATCATCAGTGAATGCACATTTGTGCAAGAAAAAACCCTATATAGTATAAATCTTTTTATATTTTGAAAAATGCACTGGTTTGGTACAGACATACTCATATATAATTCTGTTTTTCAAATTATGAAGGAAGTCTCATTAAACAGGCACTCGCTTTCCAGTGTTACTCTTCTTTTAACTTTACCACGGCTCAGATGCTTAGCACCGGTTAACCGTATTTTGTACTTAAGAAAATTGATTATAAACCAGAATTAGAGATTAATTTCAAATTGTATTTAACGTCTGTGGTTTAAAAAAATATTACAATCTTAACTGAAATTAAGGGCTTGATTTAAAAAAATTGTATTTAAATGAAATGCTTAATCCTCTAAACAAGGATCGGAGAGCTTCACAAAAGGGATATTCCAAAGAGAATTTCCTCTAATGTCTAAGTTAAGCAGTAAGGAACATTGTAAAAGATCTCAAAGATACCCAATATTGATTATCAATTTTAAGTTACTGTTGTTTTGATAAAATTCATTACACTTTGATTCAAACATTACACTTTGTTTAATGATGTCTAAATAAAAAAAATCAGAATTATGGTTTTATATATAATTATAATTTAATAATTAATCCCAAATGTACATCTGTGGAAATAAGAAATAAATCCCAGTAAGTTTTTCTGCATCAGGAAACACTGTAAGTAGTAGGAGCAGCCAGTATAGAAGTTAAATTTACCTCAAAAAAGACGAATGCAGTTAATATTATTCTCCATATAATATTTAATAATCTTCTATCACATTAAAAATTTCAATTTAGTAATAAATTTGAAGGTCATTTGATTATATTTTAATAAACTGAGGTTCTGTTCTTTTAAAGTTATCACAGTGAAGTCTAACAGGTGTATATTTGATTAACTTCTACAATTCTAGCTTTAGCTTAACTGGACTACTGAAAAGAAGTGGAAATTAAAAACATGCTAATGAATACAATGAAAATAAAATGCTTTATAGCATACAACTGTAATTGAAATATTTGTCTCAGTGTATTGCCTATTTAATGTATATTTGAATGCAGTTGATTAAGTCATATCTTCAGGAAAAAATGTATTTTATTGAAAAATATATTTGTGAAAAAAGGCGCCTTCAAGAAAATGGATAGTGATTTGTGGTGACACATGCTTATTACATTACAGCATATTACACACTAATTTTGTAGACAAAAAAAAACCCCAAGAATTTTTCAATATGGAAAAATTTTCCTAACAACTTTGGATAACACAATGATGCATAGTGATGATGGATTTATCAAAATATAAGACCAGGGGCATGTCAGTATGTTTTATATAACTTTTAGCATTCTGAATATGATTTGTATAGAAATATTGTCACCCCACAGATTTTTATTCACTATTAAAACTGCTTCACAACAAATTGAACTAAATAGGTTTCAAATGAATAGAACATTCATCTTTTCAAAAATAAGATAGTAAGACTCTTATTTATGTAGCATATTCCAAAGATCCTTTTTCAATAAGCAACTGGCCCTCCTTGGTTGTTTCATTGAAAATGTTTTGCTTCTCCTTCAGGAAGCTGCTTTAGTCCTGAAGTGAAAATTTTTCAAAGAAAAAAAAAAACAAGGAAGTCGAGTTGCCTTTTGGAAAAGCATCATTAGGATAACCATAACCTGCATGATTAAGAATATCTTTAATTATTAATACAGCAGTATGCACTAATACACAATGTGCATAGCTCTGTGTGAGAGGGAGGGGGGAAGAGGTTTGTTTTAAAATGAAATTGTTTAAACTTCTGTAATATTTAAAAAAAAGTTTTTGAAAATAACTTAAGGATGAAGTTGTTGTAGCATAACTGAATACCCATAAAAGCAGGGCAAATCAATTTCAGATTGCTGAACGCAGAATTGAGTAACAATTATTTCCTAGAATGTAAGAAACTTTAAACTATTTTAGAGTGTTTTGATTATATATTAACATAAGTTTTCACTGCAAAACTTGATTATAGCTTCCATATATCAATTGCTAATTGATTTAATTTGCATTAAAATTATTGCATCTGAAGCTTATCACTTCTAATAAAGTGAAGGCTTCCTTATTACTAAATAGATAACAAACCTCAGTTTATACATAAAACAATAAATACTTTATACCCAATGAATACACTCAAAACCATAATATATAAGGAACACAAATCAGAGCAAAGTGAATTTATTTTAATCCAAAAGCACTCCGCAATTAAACATATTAATAAATTCACAGCATTAGGGTAAGACTTCTATACTTACATTGTTTTAGTTTCCTAGTATAATTTATCTTGATTGCTTATTTAGTATTCTATGACTATCACTAAGTGTTGTATCTTATGATTTATGATTTATTTTTATGACAATTATGATTATGATCTATCACTTGTAACTTTTATGTATACTGAGAGCTTATGCACTGAAGAGAAATTTCTTGGTGTATAATCACACTTGGCCACTAAAGAATTCTATTCATGATTTTGCTACATTAATTTACGGCAAATAGGTGTGGTTCCTAAGTTTATTCATTATTAACTTTCATGTTACTATTCAAATCGAAAGTTTTGAAACCACAAGTTTTAGAAGCATGAATCACCCACTTACACTCCATCATTTAGGTCAAACAAGACGTCATTTGGTCATTTTCAGGCCGGGCTGAAAAGTCATTTGCAAGCCGGGCTGAAAAGCCATTTGCTGGCCGGCTTGCTCAAAACATCTGCACTCGATCTAATCAATAGTTATGAGGCGTCTTCCCCTCATACCTTTTGAACCCAGATCCGCAAATGAACACCCAGCTAATTTTTTTAGCAACCTAAAGAAAGCCACGCATACACGTGTTTCTAAAAATCGATTTTTCCAGATGGAATGAACTTATTCCCAGAATCCCCAGCCAGGTCGAACTTCAAATTACGCCTCCGCTTCAGAAAGAACGCGGCTTTCTTTCGCCCCACGGAAAGTCTGACTTCTTTTCTGACAAGGGAAAAGGGGGTACGAGGTCGAACCTCCTTGTATAATGCCTGGAGCCTCTCTAAGGATACCGCGTGGGGGGAGGCTCCTCGCAGGGAACGAGGAAGGGACAGTGGAAGAGAGGCCTGCTTTGGGGGGGAGGGGTCCCGCCATCTAGAACCATGCATATCATCCAGCTGTGTCGACTGGGGATGATAGGAATTGTAGTTTCACCTTTGGAAGGCCAAGGAGTCTGGACTGGGAGGCTTTCATGTTTTTCCGCAACCAGACCTTTTGAGGTATTACGCAGCCGCAGAAGAGCCGCTGCGAGAAACCCGCGTTGGTTCTTTCTCTCCGCTTCCCTCCGTCCCCGTTTCTTAACCTACCTTCCGCAGGAAACTCCTCGAACTCGTCATCTTCTTCCAAAAGCCCCAAATCTACGGGTTTATTTTTCTCCGACATGTCGGTTAAATTTTGTCCTGGTCCTGCCGCTCTAGGATACTCCAAGGAGTCCCAATCTACTGCTCCACGCTGAGAATGACGGAATAGACACGCGACAACGGGCAGCGCATGCGTCTTCGGCGCGAATAGGGCGCAGTCAGCTCGTTACCCCCCCCTTCCCCCTCCCTTGCGCAGCCTTGAGAACTTTCTCAATTTTCTTGGAGGAGAAAAAAAAGGGAAGAAAGGAACCAGGAAGAAGGCAAATAGATCATTAAATAGATGGATGAACCATCTCTGCTTTTCTTCATTTGCAGCATAGATTCTTCTCTTTCTCTTTCTATACACTTAATAATTCTGAAATAGGTTTTGTTTAGAATTGCTCAAAAGCTTTATTCCGGGATTACTTACAATTCTTTTTAGTAACACTTTTACTAAAATCCAAAAATATAGGAATGAATACATTAGAAGTTGGTATGATTAGAAGTCACACAGCAAATTTAATCTGAAATCTAAGGTTTTATTGCAATCTGTTATTCTACATATATTTATATAAAGTGGGAATATATATGTATGTGTGTGTGTTTTTAATTATCAGTTGAATATTCTTTAATTCTCTTAAATTCATTTTTAATTAGCTTCAAAGATAGGTGGCTACTGTATGTAGACATTTATATTTTAAATATACAAATAAAAATATGCCTCCGTTTTTATTTTATTTTTTAAAAAAGTAATATAGAAGTATTTCTGAAAGAAAACTTATCAGACTAAGATGAAACTTCCTTGGGAAGGCAGGGGAAGGAGAAAGGAATAGGAGAGAGGGCAAGGAGGGAGGGAGGAGAGAAACGAGTGGAGAGAGAAGTAGAGAGGAAGGGGAAGTAGAGGAGGGAAGGATGACAGAGGGAAGAAAGCAGGTAGGGAGGAGGAGGAGGAGAGAGAAGGAGAAGAAAGTGATGAATAAGGATAAATATGGTGTATGGGCAGCAGAAGAGCCAAACAATTGTGTTTTGGGAGCTGATGGTAAGATGAATTGATGTAAACACTTAATAATACAAAATGATGTTGGTTATGTAATAGTATGTGATTATATGTTGTGAAAATGGAAAAATAATTTTTTTTTTACAAAAAAAAGATGAAACTTCTCAGTTTAAATCTTTTTACCACTTATCTATTTTTGCTCTTTGCTGTTCTTTTTTTAAAACTCAGTTGACAACTTAGTTTTGGTATCAGTAAGGTTGTCCTGTAGACTGAGATGCAACAAACTTGCAAATCTTGGCTCCCTAGTACAAAGACAAGTACCTGATTAGTATGAGTCACAAAAAAGTAGGGCATTTTCTAGATGAATTTTTCTTCCTTAATCACCTGATTAAATTTCACCTGTTTTATGGAGTGTATGTTGAAAGAAGCACGTAACTGACAGAATAAGTAAATAACTTTATAAGTTCTATTAATAGCAAATAGCTTCTAGAGACATTAGTATTGCAACTAAAACGTATTATGTACCTATTCTGACCCATTCTCCTTAAAAAATGTTTGAAAATAACAGAAGAAAACTAGAAGATAATGAAGATTCATACTAGGCTACTTCATATCATCTTATGAATAAATTTAAGTTTATGGGTACATTTGGCCATAAAAGTTCCTAATGGAACTCTAGGTTTAGTTTCCAGATTATGAGAACAATGCAGTTTTACTCACAGTGTATTTAGGATTATAGTTTTTTATATTGCCTTTTACATCTTCCAAATTTTGAAATTCAGTGCAGAAAATAAAATCCTGTCAACAGGGTTAAATCCCTTTTTGTGGTTTTATTTAATTTCCTTTATATAAAATCTAGGGCTATTATTATCCTAACCAAGAAGAGGTCCAAATATGGCTTCCTAACTTTTCCTCTTCTAGATTTTGCATGTTAGTTACCAATCTTGCTGAGCAATTACTAACTATAAAGAATGACTTTTTTCTTGATAGTTATGTGCTGTATCACATTTTGACAATAAATTGCATCTCTCAATGATTAAAACTTAGAAAGTTATATTCCCCCTTCACTAATTGGAATCCCATATTTAGCTAGTATTATCCTCTTACTTTGGAATTGTCAGAAACGTGTGTATCNAATCAGGGAAGGGGGTACAGACAAAAAATAAAACAAAACATAATAATGCATAATTTAAAAACACACAACAGTCATACCATTCGAGACGGGGGCAATAGCTCTTTAGCCCCAGGCTAATGTCATCATCCTCATCTTTATCATTATTAATGTTGCTGCTATTCATTTTAGTCATTAGGCATTTCAAAATAGTCAGAATAAATTTCTGTTTATCACTCCTTTTTGGAAGTTATGCATTTATTTTATTGTTTTACGCACATGTGTATATTATTCCATCTTGGACTACGTGTTCCAATTCACATCCATGGCTTTCTAGAATGCATGCTGAAACACATGACAATAAAATTAAAAATACAGATACCGACACATAAAACATTTATATTTTATCTTCAAGCCCTGAAATCCCAAGTTACTCTCTATTCATTTTTTGTCAGTAAAATGTCTCATCAGGATAGAAAGGCAAACGAGAAAAGAAAATAAATATGCCAGTATTGTATGTGAAAGTAAGGAGAAGAAATCAGTGTTTCACGTTATTTGAAAATGTAATACTGTTTCTTGGGGGTGGGGGGGAAATGCAATGCAACTGGGAGATTGAGTAAAAAAAGAGCTGAAAGCTACTAAAAACTTGTTATGCCTCTCACAGCTCCTGCATTCTTTTGTTGAAAACAGATAGTTGCCAATATGCCACAAAGAAGCATTTACCAATGTTTAAAAGGCCTTGCCCATTGTAGGTAGTGTTAAATTTTGAATATAGCTTTTATTGCTAAGGGGACACATTTTTACCAATATAGCTCCCCATCAAATGTGCTTTTATCCTCATATTTGTATGGCTTTTAATTAGGTAACATTAGCAAATATAGGTAATGATGGTTTTTTTGTAAACATTTTTTTAAAACATTTTTTTACAGGTACCTGGGTAAATATTTCTTGTGAACTCCATTATTGTTGAGCTTTAGTTTCATGAAAGTATAAGTAGTATATCCGATGTGAAGTTTAACACATTACTTTTGTTTTTCTTTTTATCAATAATTGAAAAATATCTGAATATCTTTGTTCAAAACACTGACTTTTAGAGTTAAGTTTGTTGCCTAGGCAGGATTAGAAGATTAACCAAGGAGTTAATATTTTCAGCTAAAGACACCTTTTAAATAGTAGAAGATTAAAGCAGAAAGGGGAAAAAAACATACTAATGTCTCACCATATTTTCTTCTGTAAAATAAAGAAATACCATATTACCCAACTGATTCTTCCATAGTGAGAAAAAAGAATACTTTTGGGTGAAACAATAATTTTACTTCTTGCCAAATTCTGCTTGAGTTAAGTGCATTTTAAGGAAGTGGTGCCTATTTAGACTTGAAAGTTCTAGTGAAGCAATTGACTCATTCTTTGCACATATTTGGTAGCTCTCAAGGATCTGGCATCAAAAGCAATCATTAATTCCAACATTCGTAACTTCTTTACCAAACAGCAACTGTAGCGGAAAACATTACACAACAGGATGTTCTGCAACCACTGAAGGATGGTGTTTCACTTTGGTAGTATTTGAAATGGATCAAGAAATAAATTATAAGCTGGACAGCCCAATTCATAACCCACTAAAGTTGGAGTTATACGATATAACCAAATTTAATTCCACTGGTGTATGTAAATGGGATAGTAGTCACTAAAATTAAACTGCCACAGATGCCATAACTCAGTTATGGTACATCACACTATGACGGAAATCCTGCAAACTTTTTTTGCTCACATATAGTCTTACTACCTGGATACCCATGCTTTGCTATGAAACTATATGATCAGGCTTGATAAATTGACATGTAAAGCCATCAGGCTGGATGAGTCAAGTGCAGGCCATGCCAACACCTGGTCTAGCGAGGGGGAGGGAAGTAGAACGTCGTAACTCCTTAGCATTGATGCATGTTAGTATAATACTGTATAAGGAATACTGATGATCTGGTCATTTTGAAAATTCCTTTTTTAGCGAGCACCTAGAAGCCAAGAGGTACATTCATGCCAAATTTCAAGTTCGTAGGCTCTGGAAATTTCATGATGAGTGAGTGGTATTTGCCTTTTATATATATAGATTGTGATTCAGATGGAACCCCCTGACATCATAGCAGAAAATTTCCTAGCTTTCTTAATTATATCAATCGGGAAGGAATATCCTTCAACGAGAATGGACAGAGAATATTCTTGGTAACTGGCACACAATGAAAGAACTTCTTTCTTCAAGAAATTCCCAGAGAGAACCAATTTTTTTACTAAAGCATTAAATGAATCAATCTGCACAAATAAAAGCAGGCCATGAAAACGTTCCACAACAAACTAATACCGCAGCCATACAAATGATCCATATTTACTGCTGAATAGATGTTATCTCCCTCAACACCTGAAGTGGTAAAAGAAGAAGTTAAGAAGAGAGTTGTTACATTCATGTTTTAACATTCTACAAAATACAGCTCTTGTACAAAATACTGTAAGCTATTAGTTGTATTATAATTGTAACACATGTGTAATAGTTGAAGACCATATTCTGTGTGTATAAAATATCCTACATCTCCAAACAGGACTTGAAACTAAAAATGTAATATTGAATAACCAGTATGACTGTGGAATAAATATGAATTCCTCATGTGAAAGTTCTAGGTTAAGCTAAAGCAGCAAAATGAATCATGCTATGTTCTTCAGCTAATAATTTGTAGGAAAACATCAATAATTGCTTTGAAATCCTGAACCTCTTTGATAAAAAGAGTGGATTGCAGAATGAAATCAATAAGTTGTTAAGGGTAAATATAAACCATCACCACCAAAAAAAACCAGAAAGCGAACTGTATATCAAAATAAATGCTAGGACCTGTCAAGAAGAGGAAAGAAGCCAAGAAAGACAAAATTTCAAGAAGGAACTTAACAATGCATTTCAGAAAATTGTTAGAAGAGACAAAAATTAGTATTACAACAGCTATAAAGTCTCTGAAAATAGGAACAGACATGAAAAAGAGAAGAAGTC